GCATGGAATGCCGCACGAGTCCCCAACTTGCATCGCCGAACGCCTGCTTAGGGAAAGTCGAGGGGGCGACTAGGGCGGGTGGGAAGCTCTCAATGGGCCGGTGTGTGCGCGTGGGCCTGGCTCCGGAGCTTCTTGTGCCGCGCAGTCCGCCGGCGCCCGCTCCCAGCGCCGCCTGTCGCAGCCTCCGACCGAGCCGCCGCCGACGCCGCGCAGCCGCCGCTCCGTCCGCTTGCGCCGCGACGCCGCCCCCGCGCCGCCGGCCAAGCCGCCGCCTCCTCCTCCTCCTCCTCCTCCCCCTCCTCCTCCTCCTCTCCTCCTCCTCCTCCCACTCCACCTTGACATCCTATCGTTGCGAGAAAGTCGCGGCGGAAGGTTTCGCTAATCTTCTGCTCCCCAGGGCCTTCACCAGGCCGCTAGGCCCGTGAGAAGACAACGCATTGGGCGTCGCTTGATGGGGGGGGGAAAGGTGCACTTTTCGGCCCCTACAAGCCCCCTTTGGGGGCCCTCAAGGGCCCTTTGGGGGGCCCTGCAAAGGCCCTTTTTTGCGGCCCTCGCTGCCCCCCCCCCACTTATCCCCCCCCCCCGTACGCGACGCCCAAACTTAGGATGAGAAGCCGGTTCCGGGGAAGGGGTCCAGATCTCTGGGAAGCTACGCTGTGAAAAGATCACGACGTCGGCTGTCTGGGCTGGGACCCAAGCGGGCGCAGGCCCTGCACGGCAGCGGTGTGCCGTGCCAGCGACTGCAGGGAGTTCCCAGCCACAAGCCCCCCGACCCTCCGCCTCTCCGCCTCCGCCTGGGCGGCGTCGGTATGCGTGCCACAAGCAAGGGCACTGCATCTTCCCCCAGAGCCCCACGGTTGGCCGGCCCTGAGAGGAGGTGGCTCAGCTAAGGGAGCTGTAAGAAGAACATATAAGACACGAAGGACGGGGAGGACGCCCCCCCCAGGAGGGCGGACTAGCTGCGGTCGGAAACTTTTGCTTAGCGTGTCGCGGCGACGGCCCCAGCGACAAGCTATGCCATGCGAGCGGACTGCGTGTCGCTCCGCTCCGCCGGATTGGAGGCAGCGAGAAGCTCGCGACGTCGACGCCTGGATAGCGTGTCGCAGCGAGGCGCGGTGGGCCAGAACCGGCGGCGCGACACATGGTCAAAAAGTTCCTGGCCGCAGGTCCCCGAGCCGTCCCTGGAGGAGGGGGGGGAACGACACAACGCCGCCGCCGCCTCCTCATCCTCCTCGTCGCACAGCCTGCGAAGGCAATGCCTTCAGGCCGCCTGCAGGCTGTTCGCCGCTGCCGCCTCTCGCCTCCGTCGAATGCCCGATCCCGCTCGCGTACGCACGCTCGCTCGCTCTACCGCGTCCTCGCCCGCATCAATTAACCCTGCTTCAGAGGGCGATTTTTTAATTTAAATCCCGTTCGCACATGTATTCATCATCATCACCATCATCCTCATCCCCATCCTCATCCTCATCCTCATCCTCATCCTCACCCTCACCCTCACCATCGTCATCGTCATCATCATCCTCACCCTCACCCTCACCCTCACCCTCACCACCACCACCACCACCACCACCATCATCATCATCATCATCATCATCATCATCATCATCATCATCACCATCACCATCACCATCATCAACATCATCAACATCATCATCAACATCAGCATCAACATCCGCATCATCATCATCAACATCATCATCATCATCATCATCATCAGCACCATCAGCATCAGCATCAGCATCAGCATCATCATAATCGTCATCATCAGCATCATCATCAGCATCATCATCATCATCTAGATATAGGTCGTGTTCCGCACGCAGACACGCTTGCTCATAAACTCGTCTGGCGTGCTGTCGTTGGCATCAACGACTGAGAGGGGGTCGGAGAGAGGTCGGTGGCCAGGAAGTCGCGTCGTCCCGACCGACCAGACAAAAACAAAAAACAAACAAAAAAAAACGAAAAAGAAAAAAACAAAAAAGGAGAGACAAAAAAGAAAGCCCCTCCCCTCCTCCTCCTCCAAGGCGCAACACCACAGCCACCACGTCCCACACCACAGCGGCCACAGCACCGCGCACACACGCACACACACCCACACACACACCACCACCACCTACCCCACCACCAACACCACCACCACCACCACCACTCACCACCACCAACACCACCCCGACAACCACAACCACACCACAACCACAACACGCACCCGCACAGCACGCCACGTGGCACCACCACCCACTAACTAACGCACGCGCACCACCACCCACTACGCACGCGCGCGCGAGCCACAGGTCCGCTACGACACGCGTCCGCGGATAGAGAAAATCAGCGCCATGGTAAGGGATGGGAGGGAGGGGTAGGACGTCAGATATGACGCGAGCGCACATAGCTTGTCCTCCTCCTCCTCCTCCTCCTCCTCCTCCTCCTCCTCCTCCTCCTCCCCCTCCTCCCACTCCTCCTCCTCCTCCTCCTCCTCCTCCTACTCCTCCTCCTCCTCCTCCCCTCCTCCTCCTCCTCCTCCTCCTCCTCCTCCTCCTCCTCCTCTCCTCCTCCTCCTGCCTCCTCCTCCTCCTCTCCTACCGCCTCCTCCTCTCCTCCTCCTCCTCTCCTCCTCCTCCTCTCCTCCTACTCATCCTACTCCCCCCTCCTGCCTCCTCCTCCTCCTCCTCCTCCTCCTCCTCCTCCTCCTCCTCCTCCTCCTCCTCCTCCTCCTCCTCCTCCTCCCCTCCTCTCCTCTCCTCTCCTCCTCCTCCTCCTCCTCCTCCTCCGCCTCCTCCTCCTCCCCTCCTCCTCTCCTCCCACAACTTCCCCCTCCACCCCTCCTCCTCCTCCTCCTCCTCCTCCTCCTCCTCCTCCTCCTCCTCCTCCTCCTCCTCCTCCCCTCCTCCTCCTCCTCCTCCTCCTCTCCTCCTCCTCCTCCTCCTCCTCCTCCTCCTCCTCTCCCTCCTCCTCCCCCATCTCGAGGAGAAAGGAGGACGTTTGGGCAGGGCAGGCAGGGGGACTGCGCCAGTCTGTGGCGCGAGGGGCATTTCGCGCTCCAGCCAGGGCGCCCCTTTGCCAAGTATCTACACGTCGTTCATTTCTAGTCGTGCTCGTTTCTAAGTGCGCTCGTTTCTAATTGCTCCTGGCCCCCAGGAATTGCGCTCGTTTCTAATTGTGCTCGTTTCTAAGAAGTGTGCTCGTTTCTATATCGTGCTCGTTTCTAATTGCGCTCGTTTCTAATTGCTCCTGGCCCGCTAGTGGCCAGGAAGAGGCCCAGGATAGAATACTTAGAAACGAAAGAATCTTGGCCCCCCAGAAAAACCAAGGAACTTTCGAAGACGTAGACAGGAACAACGTGTACGCACACGGGTTTCGCAATGCGCTGCGATGGAGGCGATGAGGTCACACATGTTCCCTCCATCCAGGAGGAGGAGAAGGGGGGAGGAAGAGGCGAGGGAAGACGATGAGGACGAGGAGATTGGGTACCACAGAATTCTTCCCCAGCGCTG